GACGCGGGGGCGGTAGCTTCGAGTCTAGCGGCTGCGCGCGCATAATCCTCGCGCTCTGATTGGTCCGCGCGTTCAACCACTAGATTCGAAGCTGTCGCTCCCGCGTCTGCGCGTGCATAATCCTCGCGCTATGATTGGTTCACGTTTTTCCTTAATAATTCAAAAACGGTGCTTCACACAACATTTTTGCAAAGGAAAATCTTGTTCAGAATCAACTCCCCCTCATTTCTGTATAGTTCTGAGACTCCCTGTATAAAGTAGTTTATTTTTTAACTGTCATTTTATATTATTCATGAAGTATTATTGTACCTTCTCTTTGTATTTGCTATTTTATTTTGAAATAGTGTATTAGTGCACCATTGTCTTTGTATTTAATATTTTATTTTGAGGTAGTTTATTAGTGTACCCACATATTTTGCTAACTGTACTTCTCCTAATTTACAATATTCCGCATCATACAGTATATCATGAAATATTAAAGAATGCGAACGGTTAATTTACCACCGACATATCAGAGAACATGAGGGAATTTTTCCCGGAAGTTTCCGCGTAACGAGAAGGAAAACGCGTTCCCAAAGGATCGTTAGAAGGGGCTCTCGCAATACGAGTCCCAACGGGCTGTGGGTTATGCTTCGACGGATGCGACGAGTTTATCCCGTTACAAATTCTACGTCGAACGTGGAAAACTTTTCTCTGCCGTTCTTCGCGATAACTGCGATCCTCCTTTGGCGACGATTTGCAAGAAAATTTCACGCGTTTTACAGCTCGGAGAACCTTCTACCCGACACGGTTTCGCGAGTTCCTATGTAGGCTAATCACGGATTTCAACCCCTTTCAACCCTTATCTTTACCCCTCTTCGTTTCGTGTTTCGTCTGATCTTCTACCCTTTCTGTCGACTTACTGTGCGTTATTTATACGAATATCCTTTTATGGAACGTGATTGAAAAATGGTACGTGTGACGTCTTTGATTTGTGGATGATTTATGTGGAGTGAATTAAATTTGGATAGGAAGAGACATGGATTGACTTTATACATTTATTGACATCTACATATGTATTGTATGCATATAATAATTTACTTGTATTATACATATAATGATAATATAATAGTATAATACAATAAATATAATAATTTATGCATAATATAATTGTCCATGTTTGTCCTTTCATTCGTAAAAGTTCAAAAATATATATCTTTTTCAAAATCAAGAAGATTATATGTTAAGTTAGGTTAATAATGAATATTCTTTCATGACATACAGTAATAATATAGTGAATGAAGACTTAAATCAGCATATTTCTGCAGTGAAAATAACCGTATATGGTCAGACACCATGCAACGAATTGCAAAGGCTATTCAAACTGACGCCATTTTCGCGCGCAATTCAAACGCGGTCCGCCATATTGATGACCGTAAAGAAATGCAAGAAACGAATGTTCAAGAAATGTATAACATTTTAATGTATGACGTTTCTTGAGCAAAAAAAGACTTAATGAATTGCAAGAGCAAATATGCGCATTATTTTGAATAAGAATTTGTTAATAAATTTGCATAGCAATAAATAAACGTATTGATTAGTGGTTTATTATTAGAATCATCTCAGACCACTGTGATCTAAAAATACTTATTGTTAGACAATTTGTATACTTATACAATTTATATTACAAAGAATTTATACTAGACTTATTATATTTTAATAATTGTAAAATTCTACTCTAACTCTAATTTATATATTCAACAATTTAAGAGTATAAATATACTACAGATCAAAAGTGCCTAACAAAATTTAACTAAAAACTCAACTCAATTTTATTCAACTAAAACTAAAATACCTTCAACAAAGTTTAACAAAACTCAACATAATTTTACTTAACCAAAACTAAAATACCTTGAAAAAAGTTTAACCAAAGTTCAAAACCAATAACGTGTTTCATGGAATAACCTAAAGAAGCAATTCGAAGGTATTTCTCATTAAAATAGGAACGAGAGAGCAGTCCTGATTGGGACACCAACGACCCCGACTCTAACCGACTGATCTCAAAGTCGATCGTGGAAAGCGTCGTCAACGTCGCCGCGGCGTCGACCATCGACTATCGGGTATCGGCCGCGACGCGTACTCGATCGAGCAAAGTGGACGTTGGATGGGCAGAACCTTGAAACATCGATTTGCTCGTTGAAGCTGATTTAATCGACGCTTTCGTGCCGGACGGTCGCGTCGATTAAATTAGAGCCCGTAAACAAAGGCACAGTTTGAAAATGCACTTTTGGCGTCCCTTTGGGCCACTCTAAAACTGATAACCGCGAAAAAATGGAGTGGTCACTAAAATAAAATATTTCACAACCCATTTTCCAATATTTGTGATACACCAAAGGCACCAGTGTATCAAATACAGGAGTTCATAAATAAAAAGCAAGTACTATGACAATGGTATAAAATAAGGTACTTGATAAATAGATAGAAAGTGTAATGACAATGGTACAATAATAAACTACTTCAAAATAAAATAATAAATACAATGACAGTGGTACATTAATATACTTCAAAATAAAATATTAAATACAAAGACAATGGTACACTAATACACTATTTCAAAATAAAATAGCAAATACAAAGATAAGGTACAATAATACTTCATGAGTAATATAAAATGACAGGTAAAAAATAAACTACTTTATACAGGGAGTCTCAGAACTATACAGAAATGAGGGGGAGTTGAGTCTGAACAAGATTTCCCTTTGCAAAAATGTTGTGTGATACACCGTTTTTGAATTATTAAGGAAAAACACGGACCAATCAGAGCGCGGGGATTACGCGCGCACAGACGCAAGAGCGACAGTTTCGAGTCTAGCGGCTGAGCGCGAACGTGATCAAATTTGTGTAAGTGTTAATTTGTATGTGTGCGTGTGTGAGTGTGTGCGTCCGTCGCGTGGTGCGCCGTTAACGAGCGCGTGGACGAACAATCGGGAATGATCGAGATGATTCTGGAAGCGTGGCGCGAGCGGAAAACGGGAATGCTCTAGAGCCCTCTAGAGCCATTGCGCAATTCAGCCAAATAAGCCGTAATATTGTTGAGTCACTTGTCTCAGTTGCAAGTTTGGATTTTGAGAATGAATGAAGACAAGGGCAATATACATATGTACTTATTAATTCAAAAATGGAGCTTCAAATCCCATTTTCGCAAAGGAAAATCTTATTCAGAATCATGTCAGAGACCTACACTAGTTGTGAGGCACCCTGTATTATTAAAATTTTCATGCACTCATACCATAATCCTAATTATAGTACCACTATAAGTAAAGAGACAGTAACATTCTTAATCTCAATTTTCTTATACCATGTCCAACATTCCCAAAGAGATTTTCCCGAGATAAAAGATCACGAGAAATTTCGCCGCCAGCTAAAAAAGATTAGAAAGTTGGCGATACTTTGACGAGGGTTCCAAACTTTCTCACCGGGCAAACTTTGTTTCAGGGGGTTCGGCAAGCAGGGATACCAATGCCAAGGTAAGCTTCCGGAGCTTTCTCCCAGGTGCGTATTCGAGTACTGGTGTCTGTTGCAGTGTGCAGCTTCGTCGTTCACAAACGATGCCACGAGTACGTGACTTTCACGTGCCCTGGGGCTGACAAGGGAGCCGATTCGGACGTGAGTATCCCGTCTAGCATATACATATGCATACGCATACATACACGTACACGTGTATGTATGTACGTATCACACGATTCTTTTCGTTTATCGTTCTTTCTCGACGCAGTTTTACCGCGCCTTTCGCTCTTTCGCCAAGAACATCTCCTTTTTCGATCGGAGCTTTCAAACTTCCTTTTTTTAAAGATGATCTTGGAGCAAAGAGGGAAAGGAAACCCGGGGCTAAGAGCTATACATTTTTCCACGTGTTCTCGCACCGCGCACGATTGGCCTAAGCGTTTTCTGCGCTTCGTTTAACCACGCTTGTAACACGGGATAATTATGGGGACGAATACGTATATTCGTTGACCGAAATCGTTGCACGGGATCAGCGTTCGCCGACTGCGCGCGCAACACGGATTCGAATTGCACGGGAAAATGGCGACGCGAGTCGGCAACGTTCGTCCTGTGGTCGCGGAATCGAAGCGGTTTTTTAGTTACTTTTGGGTATTCCGACTAAAACGATCAATGTCCTAGCGTCTTCCTTGGCCCTGGTGCTGATTTCCTCGTGCTTCTGTGCTTCGAAGACTTTCTCGACGATCCTTAACGTGTCCTACCTTCTTGCGATCGAGCGACGACTTCCCTGGACGGAACGCGCCAATTTCAAATTTCCCGCGGTTAAATATTCGGTCACTACTATCATATACATTACATATCGATTTTTTAAAAATTATTTTATCCTTATTTTTAATATTATATTCTCAAATTTATAAGGATATTTAAACTGGTGTCCAGATAAAATTAGAAATACAGATTTGTTCAAAAAAGTGAAAGGTATAAGTTTGTTCAGAAAAAGTGAAAGGTTTAAATTTGTTCAAAAAAGTGAAAGATTTAAATTTGTTCAGAAAAAGTGAAAGGTTTAAGTTTGTTCAAAAAAGTGAAAGATATAAGTTTGTTCAAAAAAGTAAAAGATATAAGTTTGTTCAAAAAAAGTGAAGGATATAAGTTTGTTCACAAAAAGTGAAAGACAAACTTGTTCATAAAAGTAAAAGATATAGATTTGTTAAAAAAAATGAAAAGTACAGATTTATTCAGGAAAGTGAAAGATATAACTTGGTTCAAAAAATTGAAAAGTACAAAATTGAGAAAAGTGAAAGAGATTTATTCATAAAATGGGGGAGCTTGAGATCAGTTCGCGTCCCACTTACCGTGGAATTACCGAGTTAGGGTAATAATCGAGTTGTCGCGTTTTCCGCAACTCAGAAAGTGTACCAAGCGCGAATACGGTACAAACTCTTTCGCGATAATTTCGTTACTAGAAAGTTATCCTCTGAATACCGGGTGTCTGATCGAATTAATATCGGTTTCGTATCCGGGAAATCGTAGTAGGTCGATCGATCCTTGATCCACCGATCCCTAACCCGCGTCATGAACCGAGTCTGCGTGTGTGTGCACGGTGTAATGGTGTAATAACGCAGGACACGCGGACGAAGCACCAATTCAAGCAACACACCTACAACAGCCCTACCTTCTGTGACCACTGCGGTAGCCTTCTCTATGGTGTCATCCACCAGGGCATGAAGTGCCAAGGTATCATTATTAAAACCAAAGAAAATGGAAAGAATTAAACGAGAACACGCAACCAGTCACACGCACACAGACACACGAAAAGAGAACAATATAAAGGACACAGACACTCTCGCACATCGATACCAATCGTACATTTTCTTTTTCTTTCTTTGGCCCATACAGTTTGTTCGTGGTGTTGCTTTGTCTTCGTCTTGTTCCACTAATCTTCGTCTTCTAATCTTCTTCTTCTTCTTTCTTTTCAATTCACCGGATACTCCTTCTTCCTTTCTGTCTGTACATACGCTGTCAAGCTTGCCTCTTGCCGAAGGGATTTTGCGAAACACGCGTCGTCGAGGGAACTTTTTTTAAGGAGAACGGTCTGCACGGTCGAAGCTTGAACTGGAGGCGAGACTATGTTACGAAATATATAGAATCACAGTTTAAAGCTTAATTACTGAGGGAAAACACGGACCAGAGCGCGAGGACTATGCACGCAATCGCGGGTGCGACAGCTCTGGGCCTACTGGCTGCGCGCGCAGACGCGGAGCGACTGCGTTGGGCCTACTAGCTGCGCGCGCAGACGCGGGAGTGGCAGCT